ATTTATCACAGGCCCACTATCGTTGCATTCCTAGACCTACGTGCCGCTTTTGACTCCGTTGATCGACCTGCTTTATGGCGTTGCTTGCTAAAGAACTGGGTGCCAGAGAGTTATACCACCATCTTACGAGAGCTTTATCTACATACATCCGGCAGAGTGAAGGTCTATGGCAAGCCTTCCTCGCAGTTCGCTGTTAAAAGCAGTGTGCGACACGGCTGCCTTATGTCCCGATTTCTTAAACGAAGATTTTATGTCGAGTGCTCTAGAAGGTTTCCAACATTTTGGCCTGAAGATTCTACCGGGTGAGCGCGCGACCGACTTAGATTATGCTGATGATATCGCCTTACTTGGTGATGATCCTCAGAGTATGCAACTCATTCTGAATCGTTTGGCGGTTGAAGCATCTAAGTATGGCATGAGCTTTGCCCCATCGAAGTGTAAAGTACTGCTCAAGGATTGGCTTTCACCTGCTCCCGTGCTCACTCTCGAAGGTGCACAACTTGAACAGGTAGATAGTTTCGTCTACCTTGGGAGCTGTGTTTCTGTTGACGGCACTATCAGCAAAGAAGTTTCTCTTCGTATCGCTAAAGCTCGATCAGCATTTGTCAATCTGAGGCACTTGTGGCGTCGTCGTGACGTCTCATTCTCACTAAAGGGCCGCGTTTACAGCGCATCAGTTCGCACAGTATTGTTGTATGGGAGCGATACCTGGCCGATTCGCGTGGAAGATATGCGTCGTCTTTCTGCCTTCGATAACAGTTGCTTAAGGTGGATCGCTTGTGTTTGGTGGCAACATCGCGTTAATAGTAATGACGTTCGACGTCGCACCTTGGGGAATTCGAGTATTCCCTTCAACAAACTGGTTTTGTTGCGCTTGTTGAGATGGTTGGGTCACCTCCTACGCATGGCACCTGAGCGTCTACCACGTCGCGCTCTATTCGCTCGTCAAGGATCTGGCTGGAGGCGAATGCGTGGTCGTCAGCCTTCCACTTGGCTGTAGCACATGAAATCGCTGACGTCGTGTCCAGCCGCTGTTGTATCCGTACTTCTTTCAGTGTGAGGACCTAAAGATGAAGGGTGCCAATGGCTTAGTACTCTTGAAGACATGACCTGCGACCGGAATCAGTTTAAGAATTGTGTACAGTATCGTATTGATTCACATGTTTAATACTACAAACATTGAAATTGACAAAAAAGAGAAAAATCGGCGTGTGGAAAACAAACTAAAAATGTTTTGTTCTACTTTTTGTCAAAATGTTCTATGCTTCCTGCGGCATATTAGCTGGAGTGTGTTGCTTACCTTCAACTACCATGCCACGATGATTATGACGCGATGACTGTCTCTTATCCACTGATCTCCATGGTTTTCCATTGGCTCTATGTCTAGTTGCTGGACTGCTGAGATTACATTACATGTGCTCTCTATGCGGTTGGGGTCATGGAGTATTTGATGTTAGTTATGAGTATTGCGGCTTTTGGTAAAATCCAGGGTTCGTAACCGGCATGGCAGTGGAAGATGCGCCTGGCTATATCATAGTCAACTGTCAATCATGCAGGTGCGCGGCTGTCACCCATGGCATAGCGACACTAGCTGCTGGCGTCCGGAAGTCATGAGGTCGTAACCAGGCTGGGATCCGATGGAAGGCACACCACTGACAAGACCCAGATGGTCGAAACACCGATGTCCGGTGCTTTTCAAGACATGTCGACACCTGCTGACTGATCGTGATGAACTATCTCTGAATTCTTTGGTGTTCTTGCACAAATCATTTATTTGTGCCCACCTTGGCTCTCTTGATACAAGCTTTGCGCTTCACTTTTCCATCATCATAATTTACACTGTTCAACATCATTTTTATGACAAAGTGAGATAGGATGTTTCTAGTAGTACCAAATGATTTGATTACAAATATGCGAACCAATTGTTTCTATGACGTTGGGATTTTGTTTACTTTCAGTGTTTGCATTCCATCTAATCAGGCGTTCCATGCATCGAATGCTCGTCTGTAATTGGTCGATTGGCTTCCTGTAACCAGGTTTAAGAAGTGATCTTTGCCATGGTATCCAGCTGATACTGAAAGTCGATTGAGAGATGTGTTTCCTTGTTTGATATTTTGATCATGGCTGCTGTGTCAATGACCGAAATCATTTTTGTTACATCTGTGGACAGTTTACTACAAACTCGCAATGTAGACCTATTCCTTTACTAATGAAGTCCGCCTACCACGCGTATTTTGGGACGAAACTTGTAGATCAGGATAAGAAGTGGTCACCAGATAGTGTTTGTATTGTACACTCTGCAACTGACTCAGTGGCTCAAGGACCAAGACAAGATGCCCTTTGCAATCCCCATGTTGTGGTGGGAGCCGAAGGATCACACGACAGACTGCTACTTCTGTCTAACTCGTGTCATTGGATTCTCCAACGGAAACAACGACAAGATTCATTACCCCGATCTTCCATCAGCTGTTCGACCTGTTCCACATGATTGCACCTTTAACCATTCCAATGCCTCCAGTAAACATGTCACTGATGATGGGTAGTGATTCTGCCTCGTCGACTTCACCTGATTCTGACATCTGATAATGTCCACCCACATCTTATTGAACACTCAGAGCCGAATGACTTCGTACGTGACCTGGGTTTGTCTAAAGACAAGGCCGACTTGTTGGCATCTCGGCTGCAGCAATGGCACTTAGTTGCTGCAGACATCAAGTTCACTGTATACAGAAAGCGAACTGTTAACGTGTCTGGTACCTGTGACACGAGCGAAACCTTTTGTTACTATTCCCACCTAGAAGGACTGATGAAGGAGCTTGGCGTGAAGCGTATCAGTCATGAATGGCACTTTTTCATTGATTTAGAATTAAGGACATACTGCTCCACAATGGAAATGTGTACTTAACTATGACTCTGTTGCCTGCCACGAATATGAAAGAGACTTACGAAAGTACGCACTAGATAGTCTCTGCACTGAACTACAATAAATACTGTTGGAACATCTGTGCTGACTTCAAAGTCATTGGATTTCTAATGGGTATGCAAGGAGGCTGCACAAAATAGTGCTGTTTCTTGTGTTTATGGGACAGTAGAGCAACTCAACAGCACTACACAACCGAAAAGTGACCAGACAGGCTGCAGTGGAAATGAGTGTAATGCATACACCACTTGTGCAACCTGATCATATCTATCTACAACCCCTGCACATCAAGTTTGATTTGTTTAACAACTTCGTCCAAGCCGTCAAACGAGATGGTTTCACGTTTCAGTACCTGAACCAAATGTTCCCGAAGATCAATGATGCGAATCTCAACGAAGCGATATTTATTAAGCCTGATATTCGCCGGATAATGGTAGACAGTACTTTCGACTTCATTTGAGTTAGGAGCGTGGAGATCATTCAAGGTAGTGTGTACAGGATTTTGGGTAGATCAAAGGCAGCGAACTACAAGGGCACTATAAAAACTCATGGCAGGCTATCAAACTGTTAGTGCTCAGCTGTTACTCAAGATTCACTCTCTACATTATCCTCTCGACTTTTTCCTGAAAACTTCGGATCTGTTAGCGATGAACATGGCGAGCGCTTTCACCGAGACATTTCAGTCATGGAGCAACGCTACTGTGGCAAGTACACGCCTTCTTCTATGATGGGTGACTTTTGCCGGTTTCTTCAGCTTGATGGCACTGTGTCATACATGTGACGATATCGACGAAGTCGTCATTTCGCAGTGCCAAGCTGTAGTCAGTTGTTAGGGGCGAGTGTAGCACTGGTGTTTGCAACATATTTGCCACATATATGCATGCTGTCTATGTTGTGATTCCGTACATTTACATATAATTCCTACGTTCTCGACTGGACATTACTGAAACCACTCATTAGCTTATAACCTGATGTGCTAGGTAACATCAGAAAACATTTCTAGGATTAGTGGAGTGTATTCTATTAGTAGGACATTGACATTTCTGTCCTAGGAAATTAAAAATTTGTTAACAGGTGTTCTTAATATGCTGACTGCACGAGCCTTGATAACCAGATCCCACCGCGCTTCCGTTACTGTAATGAAAGTGGTTTAATTGAACTGAACCGACAGATCTTGTAATTTATCGGCACTGCTTGTAATTGATGTTTTTCTTGAATGTAAGACGTCCAAAATGATCTGAACGTACACATGGATCATCTGGTTAATTTAACGGTGCTTAGACACTGCTCCCTGTTGTTATTCTACCCGTTGATAATGCAATCCATTTCTCCATTTTACCCTGGTACAATGTTTCATTCTAGTCCTTATTTGCGGCTAGTCGCTTAGCCTCCGTAATACTAACAACTGTTTCTTCTGGTATCAGCCAAGTTCATTTCTCAAAACAAGCGCCCTCGGCGCCGTTTTGCTTCACCATCGATCGTGTAAATATCAAACGCATACAGTCGTTGTTAGGGTGTGTAAATACTTCTCACCGTTCACTTTCCTATGCCTACTGACAGGTCCGCCAATTTTATCGAACGTTTCTTTACATTTACAACGGCATAAGCGTCACTCCGATATTTCCAACTTTCCCGAATAAATGAAACACTTTTCCCACTTGATGACGCCAAGTAGCACACGCGGTATGTAGTGTATAGGTTCACCGTTTGCACAGGGTTTGTGTTACCCGTAGCAAATTCTGGAGCCGATTGGTGGCTCAGTGTCGGTGGACGAATCAGTCTAACCGACGCTTGGGATGTACACTCTTCAGTTTGCCGGTGGCCGAAAGGATTACCTGCTTGCCTTGTATTTCGGAGGTCATCTGTTCTATTCCGCATAGGTGCGGGCGACCTGGCGATACCGCACGACTCTTGGTGCTTGCATAGCAGTGAAGCGTTGTTATAGTGTGCCGGCTTACTGTTGTTGCCATTTTTCTTTCACACTCTAGATGGTGACATAAACTGAATTTCTTTTTACTTTTCATCCCCACTTCAATCGCATCCGATTTTTATATTGCACTGTCTCCATCTCTCATTTTAGGCGGAGAATATTTACAATGACGATGAATTAGAAATGGGCAACATAGGACTTGAGGGTCACGGCTGAGCAAGAGACTGGTCTATTTTATCTTTATTTGTAGTTGTATTTTACTTGCTTGTTTGTTGTACATATACACTTATACTTCTTGTTTTCGTTTCGATTTGTTGTGATCAAAAGGCTCCGTCGCCATCATTGCTTCAGAAATTATAGTCCTACCTATTGCGCTAAGGCGATTTACACTGATGACAATGCTCATACATACATAAATACATGGTACCTTCTCGACAAAGCGGGGCACGCCTTCGCAGGCATGATCAGAGTAAAGCTACTGAGACGTTACGATTTTGCCAGTTAGAATTTATGTTTCATAAATTCAAATATGAGGGTGTGTGCGTTGTGCTTATATTTGTAAATGTGCGGTTATATTTGTGATTGTGTTCTGTCAAATCGTCAGTGCGAAATGGCCGTAAAAATTTGTCAAGGTAGATTAATCACCTCCGCAAGTTGCGTAAGGTCGTTTGGAGAGGCAAGGAGCAGTGTCTTTATTTAGCGGCGGGTCACACCCGCTACGTCGCATTGTTGTTAAGCAGACACTTTTGCCTTTTTCTATGGAGAACACTTGCCAAGTGGAAACCCACCACCTCCTGAAACACTGCCGCTGAACCATTCGCTTGAACGAGGTTTACCCGAACCACCCATCTGGCACCACGAGCTTGCTCGGCGCATAGTCTTTGTATCGTTTGTAGTAGTAGTAGTAGTATACTGTATTATAGAGCAAGTAGAAATGGATTCTGTACAACTCTTTCGAAATATTGTGAAAAACATTATAAAAGTTGTCAACCGTGAATATCATTGTCGTTCTCATGTAATATTTAAAATATTCGACTTACGATATTTCAGGATTCACAAATGTGATATGTCATCGTAAGTGTGCAGTCGTTCTCTGAATCGAATAGTGGCAAAATATAAATCTAACAACGTTTTGAACTGTTGCACAGATGATGCCTCAATCACATGTTCAGGCAAACTGTTCCAAATGTTTACCACTCTCCGTTCGAAGCACAGTGGGTGGGGAACACATTTCACATCTGGCACGACAAGTTTGTATCTGTGTCCGCGTGTGCTGCATGGCCCTCGTAAGTGCAGCATTGGCCTTAACATGGGGAAGTCACCGAGATGTAGAATACGGTAGGTCATAATGAGGTCGACTCGCAACCGACGGTAGGACAAGGTGTAGAGTCCTAGTTTCTCGCACCGGTCTTCATACCCAAAGCCACGTAAACTCGGGATAAGCCTGGTAGCAACGTGTTGGACCCGTTCGATCTTTTGTGCCTCGCCTCGGGTAATCGGAAAGTAGGCGGGCGAACCGTACTCTAGCATTGGTCTAATGATAGAAGAGAACAGGCGGGTGGCAACCTCTTCAGACCATGTGCCGAAGCTACGTTTGAGCGCCCAAAGCATGCGCAGTCCGTTACGATATAGCCTGTTCGTGTTGTCCACGGACTTCAAATCGTAGCGTGAGAGTACACCTAGGTCCTTCACGGAGGGTGTGGGATATAGCGTTTGGCCGTCAAGGGTGTAGTTTCGGCCGTTAGCACCCTTCCCCAGGCTCATAAATACAGACTTGGCTGGGTTGACCGGGAGAAGAACTTCTGCAGACCATGTGGATAGGCGGTTGAGGTCTTGCTGAAGTAGGCCACAGTCATCGGGAGCGTCAATTTCTCTCCAAATCTTCATGTCGTCCGCAAACAAGGCACACGGCGACCGGAGAAGCTGCGGTAGATCGTTGATGTGGATCAGGAACAGAGTGGGCCCCAGCACAGTGCCTTGAGGCACGCCACTTGTAGAGGGGTACCAGTCAGTTAGATGGTCGTCGACCTGTACCCTCCACTTTCGTCCAACAAGAAAGTCGCGGATCCACCGGTGCAGTGAGCCACCGACACCACACATGCTGAGTTTGTGAAGGAGAACCTCATGACTGACCTTGTCGAACGCTTTACTGAAATCGATGAATATCACGTCGACGGACTTCCCCTTGTTTATTGCCTTCAACCACTCATGCCTCGTCACAAGCAGGTTCGTAATGCATGAGCGACCTTGCATAAAACCGTGCTGTGCGGGCGTCAGGACCTCGTTTGACTGTAGCAATTGCAGCAATCCCTTCTTCACGATTTTCTCAGCAACCTTTGCCAAAATAGGTGTCAGACAAATTGGCCTGTAATTGTCTACTTTGCTAGGGTCGCCGCCTTTCGGAATAGGCTTCACCACCGAACATTTCCAGTCAACCGGCAACAAACCTGCGGACAGCGACCTGTTGAAAAGGTCAGTCACGACAGGAGAGAGGATGGTTGAAAGTGACTTGAGAACCAGTGGGTGAAGCCCATCAGGTCCGGCAGGTTTGGTGCCGTCAAGGTTGGCGAGTAGTTGAGCTACCTCTTCAACGCCGCAATGCAGACTATCGAGTTCGGTAAAAGCGGTACACGTCGAACTCGGAACAGACACCTGGTTATTCGCAAATACAGAAGCGAAGTGCGCCGCCAACGCGGACGCACGCTCAGTGCTGGAGGTTAGGGGCTGTCCATCCGTGCCATCCAGCACTGGCACATCACCTGACGGCTTCAGGCGTCGCTTCACGTATGCAAAGATTCTCTTTGGGGCGGTTTTCGCGGCTAATGCGAGCTGCTCTTCAAAGTGTCGGCGTTTATTCTTTTTTGCACTGTTGCAGAGGTTCCGCTGACATTTATACCCTTCGTAATCATTGGCAGAGCCAGAGAGGAGGAATTTGTCCCACAGTCTGCGCCGCCTCCGAGCCAGGTTTCTATACTCCTTGTCAAACCAATGAGGCTTAATCGGTCCAACCTTTCGACATTTCAATGGCACAAATTGGGAACACAATGATGTCAATCTCTCTTTTATAAATATCCAACAATCTTCCACAGATGCAGCTTGTGACAGAGACCAATCCAGTTGGCTCGCGGCTCGAGCTAGACCATCGAAGTCCGTTTTCCAGTAGTTGGGAGCTTGTCGCAGCGGATGTGAATACGGCAAAGATAATTCCATATCAGCTATCAGTACTGAGTGGTCGCTCGTAGCCAGGGGCTCCAGAATCCTAATGTTACGCACTCGTTGTTCGTAGCTCGTTAACATCAGGTCGAGACAGGACGGGGTTGAACGTGTTGATATGCGTGTTGGCTGGCATATGTGTTGCGATGCACCCGTTTCAAGTACCAAATCCACGAACTTTGCTTCAACCTCACTATGTCCAGGCATCAAATGCACATCAGGCCATCGTATTCGAGGACAGTTAAAATCGCCCATAAGTAGAAAGTGTGGACGACTCATGTGGGTCCGAAGAATGGGCAGCCAATCCAAACAACGACTCAGGGGACTGCGATAAAATGCGCCCACAAGCAGTTCTCCGCGCCTGAGGCGGATGGAGCACCACAGTAGCTCACACAGACCATCGTCACTTCGGTAGGTGCTCACAAGTCTCCCACGCAGGGAAGACCGGATGTAAAGTAAGACACCACCGTGGGCATTCTTTAGTCTATCGCATCGGAAACACGAGTAACCGTTGAGTTCAAGTTCTTGGGTGTATAACTCTGCATGCAGCCATGTCTCTGCGAGTCCCACTACGTCTGGCCGCTCAGACGCAACGAAACAACAAAGCTCATCGCGCTTATTCATAATACTGCAAACGTTTGTGAAGGCTACTCGCAGGTCGCAGCAGGAGCCACCGGGCGTGCTTGAAGTGTGAGCAGCCTGTTTATCCTGATTCGCGGATTGTTGGAAACCACCCGAAAATTTACGATACGAAGATTTGTTTCCCCCTCACCAGTGCGTCTTTTCAGCTCAATGATGGCAGACTTGAGCCGCTCCCTGTCTACTGGGTCTAGGTCGGGACGAACATGGATTTTCAAACCTTTCAGTCTAGTTAGGCGAGACATGATCAGTCTTGGACTGGCTTCGTCCACAAAAGTGATTCTCATAGGCCGATTTTGTTGATCACCTTGCTTTCCAAGACGGGTAATCTGCCTCACTTTTACCGAGTCCTCACCAACGTCGAGGAGTCTATCAATTAGACCCTGTAAAAACTCGACATCGTGATCGTAGCGCACTTGGGGTGATGGATCACTGGACTCCGGTGCGTGAAAGATCACGAGATTATAACGCCTCTGGTCGGACGAGGTTGGCCTTGCAGGGCGAAGTATACTACCAGCCTCAAGTGGTTTGGCTAACTGTTGACTTACAGAACGTAAACGCCCAACGTTCCTTCGTAATTTCGTCCTCTGTTCTTTCCACTGGTCTTCAGCATTCAGACTTTCACCTGCTGGGACATCAGTGTCCGTTGGACACAACAAAGGTAAACAATTTAGATCAGGTGCAACTGGGCTTCTCACAACGGTTGGACTTCGTGTCGGTGAGTTTGCACGGGTAGAGGAGGACGACTGAGCCGAAACCTGAAGGCTCTTCGCGCTAGGTTGTTGGGCCAAACACACGGAGCTGTTCGCAACGAAACGCTGAGGCCTACACGTCGGCTTTACTCTTTCTGGCTGTATCTTATTTCGGCAATTTTCACATATAGTTTGGACGAAATCGTGTTGGATCTCGCGAAGACGATGAAAATGCTCAACTGATAATCCAACACATGAAATGTGGTATTTAACTTGGCACAAAACACACGTGAGGGCATTTGCACGGTATCCGACTAGTTTGGAGCAAGTACCACAGGATGACTGCTTCGGCATTGTGAATAATCCGAAAACAAGATGGCGACCAATTGACGGAGAAAATGGCGATAGCAAGATCGCCGAAACCAAGCGATGAAAACACCAGTATTTCTGGTCGGAAATTTCAGAATCGGAAATGAAACTGAATTGTATCTCAATTTCCACGAAATACTTCCAATGAACGCAGAAAGTCAACACAAAGTGATCTTGTCAACACAGCCCAAAATAACCGACCGGAGGTCGCTATCCGCAGTCTCTAGTAGTACTAGTATTAGTAGCAGCGGCAGCAGAAGGGAATACTCGCATTCTCCATAGTGAGACGTCGAACGTCATTAC